CCCCTGGGCACCCCTCGATGCCGGGTACCCCCCGCTAATGGGTACAGCTTGGGTCCTGGGCACCCCCAGTTCCAGACACCCCCTGATTTTGGGTACCCCTACGCACAAGGATGAGAGCTGAGCACTGCACCCTTAGATGTACACCCCCCCCGCCCCCCCCCCCAGCGCCGCGTTCCCATCCCGTGGGGGTGGCTCTGGGGATGCTCTCCAAAGCGTTTTCTCTCCCCAAACCCCCAGCCGCCCCCTCCCACCCCCGGGTCTCACCTCAATACACAAGAAAGGAGCAGGGTGGGTTTGTCATCCCCGGCCATAATTAAGGACTCACCCTTCCGAGCCCCTTCTGTCCGGGGGGGGTCAAGAAGAGAAGGGAGGAAGGGGAAAACTCTGAAAGGAAAGAGAGAGGAGGGTGTCGGAAAGGAGAAAAAAAGAGACGGGGTAAAACGAAAGCGGAGATGACACGAAGGGAACCCCTCTGACCTTTGAAGCTTTGGGGAGGGGGCGGCGGGGACCCCTTCCTTCCTCCTTTCAGGAACGCGTCGGATTCCTGCGGGAAGGAGGAGCGGGGGCTGCGGGGCGGAAAGGAACGGGATGGGAAAGAAACGGAGCCGCAGCACCGCGAATCGTTCGGCCCCAATTGCCGGGGGTGCCGCTCCGCCCCAGAGCTTCGTCCAACTCCGGCTGTTATCATTTCCTCCTCAAAGCGGTGCCACCCTACATCATTACATCCCCCCCCCCGGGCACGGGAAAAGCAATTGAGGGGGGGGGCACAGCCCCAACGGGGGGGCAGAGGGGGCGGTGGGTACCGCTGTGATGCTCCGACCGATGGGGTGAAGGACCAAAGCGCGCCGGGAGCGCACGGATGGGGAGGGGGGGAAAAAAAGGGGGGGGAACGTGGGGTGTCCCGGGTTGGGGCAGCAGAGAGGCGGCTTTGATTTGCACGGCGGTTCGCACATCCGAAGGATGACGCTTAAAACGGACCCGAAGGAAACAGAGGAGTGATTAAAGCGCGTTAATTGCTGGGGCGGCCTCGCAGATGTTTGCGCGCGTCTCCCAGCACCGGTGGCACCGCAGCAGCCGTTGCGGGGGAGGGGGGGGGTATACGGGGTTCCGTGCCCGGACAGACAGAGCTCAGGACGGACAGACGCAGCTCCACGTGCGTTGGGTCCTTGCAGGGCAGCGGTTCCGTCTCAGATCCACGTGGGTTCCCACGGGGCCGCCCCACATCTCACGCCGTAGGGATGCGTGTCTGTGTGGGGGGGGGCTCAGAAGAGGCGGTGGACGTGGGGTGCTATGGGG